ATCCCAGGTATCAGGGGCACATGGAGCCTGTCTCTTCATTCTGGAGAGAGACCTTTGAAGAACAGCAACAAGCCTGGGTTGGAGTCAGCCCATCTTAGCCAAGAAGAGGGCTGCTTAGAAGGCCTGTAACTCCCATGGTTCTTTGCATAACTGCACCAGGCAATCCTTCTTATAAAAACCGCAGCGCCCCTTTTGAAGATGAAATCCATGTTGGAGTGGGTGTGCAATCAGACCTCAAGATTTTGGCATGAGTGAGGCTTAATTATCACCCTGTACAAGAGAACAGAACATGTGAGACCCCACAGGCAAGTCACCTGCCTCCTGGTACCAGTCCAAATGGCCCCCCTCCAACAATCAGAAAAGCAAGGCCTATCACAACACCAAGTGGCAAAAACTCTGCCCCCACCCAGCCTGGCAGAATTTGAGTCCTCCAGACAGCTTGCCCTTTCCTGCCACTGCACACCAGGCTGAGACCCCGGAGCTATTTTTGTCCCATGGTGCTATTGCTGGTTGTTGTGGTAGCTGCTGCAGTGGCAACAAGCATGTAGAGATTTCCTGTGCAGCTTCTTCCTTCTCATACACTGCTGCCCCTCCCCTCCAGGGTTCATGTGGCAGATGCTTCCTGGAATCTAACCTTGGCCTTGGAGGAGACCAAGGGCACAATGGTCTTCCCAGGCTTAGCCCCTATACACTGTCCACCCAAGATTTACCCTTGGATGTTGCCACCCAGTTTCCTTTGCAGAGAGGCTACCTAGGTACTTTTCCTAGTTGTCTCTCTCCCACTCACAACTCTGTTAAGTGCCTTCTAGAAAACTAGATTCACCAAGTTGGCACCCAGCAAGAAAAGTACTTTCCCCATGACCCAGTGTACATATTCACCCATATCTAAGGGTAAAACAAAAACTTCAGGGACTTGCTCCCTTCCTTTATTTGCTGAACTTGGATCCCTTCACTTCTATACTTATCATTTTTATTTGTTTTCTTTCTTTAAAAATTTCTGGTTTTCACCCATTAGTAAATTGATTTCATAACTCATTAATGAGTTATGATTCAGCTCCAGATAATTTTCTGCCTGAAGGAAGGTCACTGGAACTTACAGGGGCCCTATAAACTAAGCCCTGCTTTGAGGTTATACCCACTTTACAGAAGAGGAAACTGAGCCTACTGATAAGTTAGCTTAAAGGGGGAGGTTTAGAAAGTACTAGAAGTATGCCCAGCAGGCTCATCCTGGCTCCACCTCTGATCAGTCTCACAAAAATAGCCAGAGTGGAAGAATTCATACCATGGAAATGGGCAAATGCTTTAAGTCAGTTCATTTGTTCTGTTTTGTCTTTCAGAGAATTGGTTGTTCCATATTACCAGTACATAATTGATTCTAATTCTGTCCTATTTCCAAATGCAGTATAGTATGAAGCCCTCTGACTTCAGCTTCTTTGTCTATAAAACTGCCTACTTCAAGGGGAAAATATATGCATTGAGTATTTTCTGGTAAGTAGGAGGGACACTGACTGGAAGGAAACCAAAATGCAAATAATTGATTTACTATCATGATGGGATTTGAAAGACAGAGTCCCCGAAATTCCACCCTGTTTTATCATTTCTGTTACTGCTAGTTTGTGTGGGAACAAAACAGATAGGAGGCCACAATTTGCAGAAGTGGGATGAGAATGAGAAGAAATGAGGGGAAGCCAGCTCTCTGTAAATGGCAGTCAGTGGTAGAACAGCATGAATCTGTGTTTTTCTCACTGGAAATGGCAAAGGAAATGTGGTAAATGAATTGCATTTCGAAGCAGGACTCCAGGTAAACAGAGAGACGGAAGCAGTTTAAGGGATACTCTAATTTAAAAACTAGAATGATGAAAATGCCATGCATGAATCACTCATTCTCAAGTCTACAAGGAGGGTTTTATAGCTATAGAGTTACTCAAACCCCCAGCTAACGTAGACCCACTGTCTGACAGATGCTGCTGCTTCATTACACCCACAGAAGATTCTGAGCCTCAGAATATTATGGTCCCTGGCTAACAACAAGCAGCCTCAGCCCTCTTCTACTCACTGTCACCCTGTTGCCTAAGGCCACACAGATAGATGATAGCTCCAGGATCATTACCAGTTACGAGGACCAGGGATATACCAGTTTCCTACTGTGGCTGTAACAATCTCCTAAAAATGAGCAGCATAGAATAAAGCAAATGTATTATCTTACAGTTCTGGAGAGCAGAAGTTTGAAATGAATGTCACTAGCTAAAATCAAGGAATTGGCAGGGCTGTGTTCCTTCTAGACGCTCCAAGAAGAATCACTTCCTCCCCTTTCTCCAGCTTTTCCAGATGCCCGCTTCCTCAGTTTTCAAAGTCAAGAGGATGTCATCTGCAAATCTCTGATTCTCACACTCTCCTGCCTCCCTCTTTTACTACAAGGGCCTTGGTGATTAGATTGAGCTCACCTGGCTAACTCAGGATCCCCCCTAAGCCCAGGTCAGCTCATTATCTGCAACCTTAATACCGCTTCACCACATCACATAACACAGCCCCAGGTTTCTGTGACTTTGAGCACTTATCAAGTACCTGGTCCAATTCTAAGCATGTTGATTTAATAGCCTCACCCCATACCATGAACATGTATGCATGTGTGGTTACTTGCAGAAAAGGGAAAATGATGTGTGGAGAGACTAACTTGCTCAAGTCCACGCAGCGAGTAAGAGGAAGGGCTGAATTGTAGATCCAAGATTCTAACAGCAGAGCCTATGGTCCTTACTACAATCGCACTCATTTGAGGACAGTTACACAAACAGGTCTCCCTAACTCAATCCTCTTGTGAGGATCCAGAATCCCCTCAGGACATGACAATGCCTCAGGGTCATCCACTATATACCACTAATTTGGGATAGGTTTCCAAGGGCTAGGATTCTGTGATGAGCACATTTCCTTCCCTAAACACTTCTCACCCTCATGCAAACTCACAAGGCGCTGCCATGTGTGGCTCACCTCAGCAGCTTCTTTCTCTCTACTCCAAGGCCATATCTAACACAGGACTTTTGTACTTGCTGTCTCTCTCACCTGGAACTTCTCCCTAGTCTACACAAAGCTCCATCATCACTTCAAACAAGTGTCTGCTCAAGGATCATTATATAACCTCCCAAGTGAGAGACTACCCCTTTTCCTTTCTTCAATATTTCTTTAATGTTTCCTTGTTTTCTTTGCCTTTTCCCTCTCTGGATAGTGAACAACAAGGTGTAGACCAAGTGAGTTGCATTTGAGGATAGAGTGTCTTTCCCTTGAGTCTACATGAGGTGTGGTGTCAGGACCTTGAGCTTCCTTAGTAGGTGCTCTACTTCTGAGCCACTTCAGACCCTTATTGCACTAGTCCTTTTTGAGACAGGGCCTCATTTCCTATTAGGAAATGTTTTTTCTTTCTCTACCACTTGACCCATAAACCAAGTCCTCTTGCTGAATTTTCAGTGTGTTTTGACATTTTAACGACATCAGGTCGAGGGTCCATGAACATGGTATAGCACTCATGTATACACCTCTTCTTTAGCATTTCTCAGTGTTTTGCAGTTTCCGTAGAACACATTTCATAGGCCTTTTGTTAGACTTACCTCTTCTTAAATTGTATTCCTGATGCTAACACAAATGAGATTTTACACTTCAACTTTCAATTATCCAGTACCCAGAAATAGAAAGTTCCATATCAGTTCTCATAACTTTTTTGGGGGTAGTTTTACCTTTTTTTTTTTTTTTTGCATAGAGGATGCCATGTAGAGATAAAGCTCGATTTCTGTACGAGTCCACACAATAAACTCTATGTTCAGGCTGTTAGAAGGAAAAGGGCAGTCCAATAGAAGGATGGACAGATCTTGCAAGCTGTCTACAGGACAGCAGTTCTGTGGATCCGGTGGCTTCATTAAGGCTAATGATAATATGGACTGGTAATCATATTGGAGGACCTCCTCAGTACAGATCCATACTTACCTTGGTTAAGAACCCAAAGACTGAATGTAAGTAAAAATATTCAGCCATGGATTTTTAAAAAAATGTCCAAAAAGTCCTTCTTACTAAACACAACCTTTCACTCTTTCACAAATCCTCTTCCCAGTCTCTGGTTTCTCATCTTGCCTTCTCCAGCCATCACCATCAAGATATACCATATAAAAATGTATCTCATACTGGATAGGCCTTGCACTTAGACTAAGATCTAGACTTTTCACCCAGGCCTTAGTAGCCCTCTGCACCCGACTTCTTTTCCCAACTGATCTATAAACTACAGACACAACACAGTTAAAATCTCCTCCATCAGGCTGATTCCAGGCTGTCTCCCTGCCCACACCATTCCCCATGCTCCAAATCCCTCTTCTTCCTGCTACTCATTATCTGTTCACCTCCTTCTAGTCACTTCTCTAGAAACCCTTCCTGACCTTGCTAACTAATGTGTGCTTTCAGAGAACCCTGGCTTTCCCCTACCTTGCACTCATATATTTTCAGGGCCTGTCCATTAGCTTTTTCCCTCAACAATGGTGCTGTACCACTTCCAGTTTTTTTTGCACAGGGTGGGGGTGGTGGCTAACTGGAGATAAAACATGGACTTTCCTGCTAGGGAAGGCTTCAAACTGCAATCCTCAGAGGTCAGTCATCTGAGTAGCTATAGTGTTTGTCTTTAAAAGTCTCCAGTCCAGGTGCTTCTGATGTGAACCCAGAATACAGAACCACTGACACAGTAAAACAAAATTGGAAGGGAAGAGGTGGGAAGGGGAGGGGAGGAAGAGGAAGAGGAGAGAAGGGAAGGCAAGGCATGGGAAGGAAAGGAAAGGGAAGGGAAGAGAAGGGAACAGCAAAAACCAAGACTGCTTTCAGTCAGCTAAGTGATGGGCCAGCTTGTGAGATGTATGAGGTACCTCACGGGGCTCCATCATCCCCAACTTAGCCTATTATGAGGGCTTGCCTTCTTCCTGAGTTGACTCCACCCAAATTGAGCAGGATAAAAGAAGGAAACCAGACCAGAGTGGAAAGCATTTTCAAACTTTATTTACAACTGTCACAGTGACAAAAAGTAGTTTGGAAAAAAAAAATGCTAGTTTCTCCCTGAGCCTCAAAAAAGAACAGATAGAAGTTACAGGAGGTTCATCTGACAACAAGCATGTTACTCAAATACTAGGATTTTTTTTTCAATACAATCAATTAGAAATACACACAAATTACTGAGAAAAAAAAAAAAAGAGGAGGCCAGACAGGAGCTCAGCCACTTGTCCGAGAGCAGCTGGGTCCCCGACAGCAGGTTCAACCACTGAGGGGCCTGGCCTTAGCTGTCAGCCCCTGGCCTGCTCAGACTGCAAACGGCTGTACAGAGCCATTTACGTGACCGGCAAAAAGAAGAAACCACCCCGTACACATACATATACACAAAGTCAATTGGATACTCAGTTTACAAGCACGTTCCCGTCACACAGCAAGACTGGGACAAACAATCCAGGGTCAGGGATGAGGGAGACACCAAAACACAGGGATTTCAAAGGCAAGACCCCCCCACCCACCCATGTCGGGAGGCAAGGGATGAGAAATGCTGCAAGGGAAGGAGAATGGGGTGAGCAGATCTCCTTGCATGGCCGGCTGCAGCCCTCTCCTGCTTCCTTGAGGAGCCTGGAAGAAGTTATTGCCATTGGTGTGTGCATTACTGGCAGACGACAGAGGGAAGAGGCAGGAGGCGGGGATCCCAGAACCAAAGCCGGCTGCCTACTGGGTGAACAGCACACCTCCACCCTCCTGCCCCGACATGGCCCACAGCCACACTGACCTTGAGGTATTAAATACAGCTAGACACACAAGTCCAAAGCCCGGGGGGGTCAACCTGGACTTATCAGAGACCTGAGGGGGTAGAGGGGGGGGGGGTGGACAGGGGACAACTGGCAGGATATAGTCTAAGGAAGGCTCGAAGAATGCTTCTGGGCCCACAGAGTCCCGCTCTGAAATGGAAATGGAAGAGTCTTTTCTGCAATCTGCTGCTCCAGAAGTTTGGGGGCTCTTAAGTCCAGAGGTGTCTTCCTCACGCCACTGCAGCCCTTGCTGGAAACAGGTGGGAGGGCGGTGGGGATGGACGAGGTCCACCATTCTACAAGGACACCACTGTGTGCCCCGTGCTGTCCTCCAACCCACGCCCAGGAACAGTGAAGAGGAGAAGCAGACACACGGTGACGGTTTTTGTCTCACACTGACCCACACCCGCAGCACAGGGGCTTGGCATCTCTGTACAGTCCTGCCTTGACTGCACCAGTCCTTAGGACCTGCACAGAAGCTCCCTTCCCCACCAACAAACTTGCTGTATTCTCAGTTCCCACAAGAACCCATAGGGGTGTGGTACTACTGCTGCTGCTGCTGCTGCTTCTCCTTCTGCTGGTCAGGTAGGCTTTGAGCCAGAATAGGACTGGAAACCACTGCCTGGCTGTCAGGGCTAGAGGAGGATGGGCAGACCTAGTGGAGCAGCTCCTCCATCCCTCTGCTTCCTGGGACTCTGAGAGCAAGTTTGGGGAAGGGGACAGTGGAAGGAAGGACCTGCCTGCTCAGGCAGTGGCCTTGGAGTTCAACGATGGTTGGTGGGAAGAGTTCTCGTTACTCTCCCAAAGTGCTGGGAAGCAGAATGGATAAATCAGGGGCAAAAAGCTCAAAAGTACTGCTTTAAAAAAGAAAGAAAGCAAAGCAAAGCAACTTCCAGGTGTCTGAGGTCTCTGAGAACCTGGGGCAATGGGGACAAATCCATGGGAAAGACAGGGTGCCCTGCCAGCCAGCTTTGCACACGGCCCCTTTCCCCTCCTTTCCACCACCGACCAACACACCACCGGAAGTAAAAGCAAACGCTGGCTCTGGGTAAGACAAAGCTGGAGATGAGGCCGCAGGTGTCTGGTGCTCTTGCAGCCAGAGCGAAGGCTGACTGAGCACTTCCTGGCTGTGGCACTCCGTTTGATAGCTTCTTAAAAACACGTACTTTGGGCTTTTGCCTGTTGTTGATTACCCCCCACACACAAAGTTCCTTGTTCAGTTGCCCATCCCTCTTAGCCCCACTGCCTCCCCTTCCGACCCCTTCCTGCAAACACTACTGCTTCCTTCCGGGGAGTGGAGCTCAGATACTGATCTCAGAAGCTGTACCCCTTCCCCACACCCCACACCCCTTTCTCAGCAGCTTCCTTTCTCACAAGGCTTTGCAAGTTACCAGAGGGCTCCGCTGCTCAACGACTTAAAAAAAAAAAGTCAAGAAAAGAAAAGAACTCAAAACCAACTGGGTGATTTGCAGGTGTAAAACGGAAGCCTCGTTTGATATTTTCAGCTTGTGGCTCACTCTCTTCTTCCATCGAGATGGGAAAAAAAACAGTTCAGGTACAAGTTGTTGGCTGGTATGACCCAGGCGAGATTGCAGGGACTCTTACTGCTCCTTGTTTTCTTTCGCTGTCTCTTCGCAGGTGTCTTGCTCATTCTCCTGGACCAAGAACTCCTCAGGAGGCCATCGGAGCTCTCCACTTTCCACCTCTCCCTCCGTGGGTTCCACTACTATGGAAGGCAGGCGGTCCTTCAGTTTACAGCAGCGGTCGAAGTCCGATGGGTCAGGAAAGATCTGAAATCAAAGCAGGGCACAGACCTGGGTCACAAGCATATCTGAAAAAGAGAAATTCAGTTCTCTTCATACACACATATTGTCTGTCTAGAGGAGACTAAGCTCCGCTTCTCAGACACTGTGGATACATGAGACAGAAACCAGGGAAGAAAGTTCTAGGAGCAACTGTCCCTCAATCAGACTTCATTTTGAATCCTGAAGCTGCAAGTTTTGGAAGGAGTGCCACCGAATTGTAAAGCCTGGTTTATTTTATTTCCTATTTCCAGATAAAAAGAATTAAAAATCATGTCATCACAGTAAGCCATGTTTTTTCTTGCCAGCAAGCATTTTATTCTTGGAGTCCAAAGCATGCAACAGGTACCGAAGTATTAAGTTCTTGCCAGCATAATCACTGGCACCTAGCAGTTTCTTTACATAGCTCATTTCAAACCAAGGCAGTCAAAAAACGGTGCTTCTCAGGCTGCCTGGAAGAATCTCAGGCTTGGACAAGTTAGCCATACAGACAGTTGGGGATGGAATGAGAAGCCAACTCAGGTCTGTCTGACTCTTGTCTATCCTCCAAGACCACCCTGCCCCTCATGTAGACAGGTCCTGATCCCACTATAGCTGCCAAGTCCAGACCCAGACAGAACGCAGGACTCCCAGTCACTGGCAAGCGGGAAACAAGATCCAAGGTACCTTCCTTTATCACCTGTGAGTAACTCCAGGCTTACTGGCAGCTCTACATCTGGAAGAAGCTACTTGGCTTTCCAGAGTTCCATCAGTGAGTCTGTTTTATAATGCCTACTGTGTGTCCTGCTTAGAGTTGGCAGAAACCCCAAGCCAAGCTATAAAATCAAGGGCCAAGTCTGGCTCTGTGGTTTCCCTCTGCACACACTGCCCTGTGACTACAGCTGACCCAATTCTTTGCCCAACCGCTTAAGTACTTAATCCGCTGGGCTGCTGCTCCCTTGCCTTTCACAGCCCTCAGTGACACACCCAAGAGCTGGAGAAAGGAGGCTGGATCTGGGAAGCAGGGGCTCGCCCAATCACAGACATTTTGGCACCTTTAAAGCTACCTCTTTCCAGCTCTTCACTGACAGAAGAAGAAACTCAGGTCCAGAGTGACCAGAGGACTTGCTCAAGGTCACCAGCTTGTTCATTGCGAGAGAACAGTTGGCAGACACATATGAAGAGTTCCCAGAAGGCTGCCTGCTCCTATCTGGATGAGGATAGATCCATGGCAACAGACAGTGGTCTTCCGTCCCCAAGAGGTAGAAGAAATGCTCAGGACCTCCCAGCTTCCATGGTGCACTGAGGGTGTCCAATCTTACTGTACCCCAACTATACACACGGTGCTTCCCCAGCCATGTCACAGTCTGACCATGTCAAGGCCACATGGGGCTTCTGAGAATCACAGGCCTCAAGAAGCCTCCCAATCCCTACAGACCAGTGGTTATTAACCATTTATCCAATAAAGGCCTATTGCTGGGGATTAAGCCTTAAGCCAGCTGCCCAAGCAGGCATCATTAAAGACTTAACAGGGCTCATAAAAAATATCATAATAGCAGCCAGAAGAAAGACAAGCCAGGGGGGGGCCAGGCCTGGGCAGGTGAAAGGAGGGAAGCTGAACACCATCCGCAGCTTTCTCCTCCTGTGTGAGCTAACCCCAAAATTGTGTCCTTGGTCTGCGCTATGTGCACAGATTGGAAGGTGCTGAGTGGGGAGCGACAAGGTTAGAAAGGCACGAGACCGTAGGAGTGGAGAGCATTTGATTTCAATGCAAGCTGGGAAGAAATATCTCTCATTTGGATTTTAGGTAAAACAATGTCGATGCTGATGCTGATGGATCAGTTTGTGTTGAGCACCCTTTCTTCATAAATAATAATTCCACAAAGTCTGTACTGGGTGATCCCTGTGTGTGTGTGTGTGTGTGTGTGTGTGTGTGTGTGTGTGTGTGTGTGTGTGCACGTTTGCCAGCTTGAACTCAGGGCCTTATATTCTCACTTGGCTTTTTGCTCAAGGCTGGTACTCTACCAGTTAATCCATATCTCCACTTCCAGCTTTTTTTTTTTTTTTTTTGCTGGCTAATTAGAGATCAGAGTCTCTCAGATTTGTCTGCCTGTGTTAGCTTCGAACCACAATCCTTAGATCTCAGCCTCCTGAGTAGCTAGGAATACAGGTGTGAGCCACCAGCACCTGGTTGAGTGATTCCTATTGCATGGGTCAAAAAAAAACCCTGTAGTACAGAGGGCATGTCCCTTGCTCAAGGCCATATCCTTGGAAAGTGACTGTAGAATTTGAAGGAAGTATTCATTTGAGGATACTCAGTTGAGCCACAGAACAGAGGTCCTCACTGTGATTGCTATTGATTGATTTCTGTCAAGTCCTCTCAATTCCAGGCTTAATTTCTCCTTTTGAGGAGTCAAGTAACCTTCTGGTCTCATTACATGGTTACAAGTTCTTGACAAATACTGAGATGGTGGGATGCTTTGGGGACACAAACAAAATTCAAATGTCTTTTCCGGAGCAATTTCAACATCACGATAGCAAGTAGCCAGTTTCTAAGCAAGAGACAGCAATTAAAATAACTCCAAATATGCTTTTCATACCAAGCATGCCACAATTAAGTCTTTGAACTCCTTGGAGGGAAATCTGAGCAATGAACTTCTGATACTGCTTAGTTGCCGAACAACTTTGCTCCCTGAATTGCTCAAAATAGGAACCATTTTCTTTTTAAAAAGTGCGTGGACAGGGCTGGGAAGGTGACTCAGTGGTAGAGCGCTTGCCTTTCATGCATGAGGCCCTGGATTCGATTCTTCAGCACCACATAAGCATAAAGAAAAAAACCCGGAAGTGGCGCTGTGGTTCAAGTGGTAGAGCGCTAGCCTTGAGCTGAAGAGCTGAGGGACAGCGCCCAGGCCCAGAGTTCAGGTGCCACGACTGGACCCAAAAAAAAAGTGACTAGACAAAGCTTGTTAACTGTACTTTAAAAACCATTATAATAATTACTCAGATAATAATAAAATCAGAGATTTTATTATCAGATTATATGAATTTTTGCTTCTGAAAAATTGCTGCTCTCTTCAAAATTAAACAGAAGGTGCCCAGACACAAACAGCCTCACGGTTTCCTTGCAAACAAGACAGAAAGTCTTACAAAGTGTTGCTAAGTCTTTTGCTAGAACAATCTTATCTCCAACAGCTGCTTAAGAGGCTGACCCTAAGGAGGTCAATGTTTTTCCACTAAGTCATGCTTTTTAATCATCCAGGCAGCAGAAAAATGAGAGGTTGCAACTGTAATTGGATGGTGTGGGGAAGGGAGTGGAAAAGAAAAAAAAAGAACTTGAGCTAGACTTGCCAAGCACATGACAGGTAGGGTTGAGGCCAGCCCAGCATGTCGGTTGCCTGCAGGAATTGGCAGGGAATAAAGAATGACTCCTGTTCCAAAAAGAAACTGCTTCTGGTCAACATCCTAGTCCAGAGTGCCCCTTCTTTTCCTTCTGAATTGCAGAAAGTCAAGGGGAGGGAGAGAGGGGAGGGGGAGGGAGGGAGAGAGAGAGAATATCTTTCTCAGCACAGACACTTCTCTAAGAGGGTCAGAAATAAAGATGGGGAAACTGAGGATTTTTTTTTTTTTTTTTTTTTTGGAAACTGAGCATTTTTTATCCTCATCCAGGGCAGGGTAGATCTAGAAGCAGCCATCCCCAGCTGTGATTCTCCCAGCCCTACATCTATAGCCATTGCTGGTTGCATCCAACTGTCATATGGGCTGCCTGGGTGGAGGGCTTGGACATAAGGAATGGGCACCAAGCCTTTCCTTTGCAAATAGAATAAAGTCTTGTTAACCACACTCTAAGAAATCATTGAGGTGTGTGTGTGTGTGTGTGTGTGTGTGTGTGTGTGTGTGTCCCCTCTGTGCAAGCGTAGCAGGCATTACCAGGGCCAACTCTGGAGAGGCAAATTTTGTCAGGTGGTCCCCAATCCCAGTAAGTCATCACATTCGGAGTACTCAAATGAATTCGTGTGAAAGGTCAAGGGGGATTCAGGATAATCGAGGAGGGATATAGCCTGTGAGATGGAGTTGAGAAGCTAATATATTGGAGTTTCTAGCAGAAGTGAGTTCTGTCCTTCAGAATGCTCTGTTATAATGAAAATATTCTGTAATGTCCAATAAGCAGACACTAGTCAGTCACGTGCTGGCTCCTGAGCACTTTTAGTATGTCTGAATTTCATTGAGATGAATTTACATATGGCTTAATATAAGATAAATATAAATATAATAAAAACTTTAAAAGCTACCTGTGACTAGAGACTACTACATTGGAGACATAATTACGAAGACAACGAAGGAAGAGCTGTCCCAAAAACTCAGGTGATTTGCTTGGCTGACCAACACAGGTGACCTCACAACTGAAAACTAGGGGCTTGGGGACAAGCTTCTGGAGAATACTAGTTCATCAGCAAGGTTTTGCTCGGGTATGAAAGTCCCAGGTAAGCCAGCTCCCATTTCATACATGGAAGGGAACTGAAAGGCAACACCAAGTCTCCAAAGGCCCCAAATTTGGAGGACTGGCTATCAACTGTCTGCTTCTAAGCCAGGTGACCGAAAGCTGGCTACCCCTGGGATGGGGACAGAAGACAGAGATGCTTGGCATCTCGTGTGGAAAATGTGAGTGATTCTGGTCAGAGCCACCCTTGCCCGTGTGTGCATCCCTCAGTCGGCAAGTCGAGCTGGCCACAGAGAGGCTGGAGGGGCTCCACAGAGGGCTAAGTGATGCTGATAGGGAAAGCAGACACCAGCAGGTGGAGGAGATGAAAGGTGGTTAACTGGACACAAAGAGCTAATTACCAGCTCTGCAAGCTGAGACCTTGGCAGCCTGAACACCCTGCTCCTCTTTGCTGGGGAGGAACAGAGGAAAGGAGTGATGGAGGAGGGGCAGTAGGAGGGGAAGGAGGGCAGAGAGCCTGGGAGAAACAGTCTGGCTAGTTCCCCAAGGCACTGGGTACAAAACCACACAG